CAGCAAACTCTTGTGAGCGCTGCTGTGCAGGCTCCCGGGACCTTGCAGGGCACCCGCAGGGGGTTTGGAAGGGGACCAGGAACAACCAGCTGACCCCCAGGCAAGGCACATTTGATTTTTTTACCAACTCTTTCTCATTTCCTGTGTTTTATTTTATTGTTTTTTGTACTGGGAATTGAACTCAGGACCTTGCGCTTGCCACTGAGCTATATCTCCGGCCCTAAGACACATTTGATTTTTTTTGTTTGTTTGTTTTTCGTTTTTCTTCCAGTACCAGGAATCAAACTCACGACCTTGTGCTTGCCAGGCAGGCGCTTTGCCGCTGAGCTAAATCCCCAGCCCGACACATTAGATTTTAAAGTGTGTTTTTACTTACAAAATTTCTAGCTGGGAGTGGTGGCGTAGGCCTGTGATCCCAGCAGTTTGGGAGGCTGAGGCAGGAGGATCACAATTTCAAGTCCAGCCTGGGCAACTTAGCTAGTTAGTGAGAGACCCTGGCTCAAAATAAAACAAGGAAGGGCTGGGGATATGGCTCAGTATGAAGATCCTGGGTTTCCATCCCCAGTAGCAGAGAAGAAAAAAATCACCATGGGGCATTTCAGGTGTTCACAGAGTAGAGAGAAGAATATAATCCAGGTCGCGACACACATGCGCCTACACCTGACAGATACGCCTGTCTCTGAGTTCACAGGCGGCGGGGGCGGGGGGCGGGGTGGCTCCTGGGCCATGTCAGTGTCTCCCCTCCAGGGCGCTACCAGCCAGAGGTCCCCTGCACACTTGCAGTGTGGCCAGTGCCCCTGAGAACTAAGGGCTTAATTTCACTTGATTTTATATTTATATACATTTAAGTTAAAACTGGTGCCCACCCCCAGCTGCCAGCGTCTGCAGATACCACTACAGCTCATTTGCGCTCCAGAAGCTGCCCCTTCCCGGGGTCACGATGGGCAGCAAGGTGGCATCTGCCAGCCGGGTCATCCAGGCTGTCAAGCCACACACCATTAATAAGGTTCCCTGTCAGAAGAGATAGTCCTAAACCCAGTGAATCTCATTTTGGGGCATAGACTCAGCTGGGCAGCAGATCCAGCGCCCAAGGAAACCGTTCTGCAGCTTGAGGAGGATCTCACCACCATCTAAGAGTCTTGCTTCGGGCCAGGTGTGGTGGCCTATGCCTATGATCCGAGCACCCCCAGAGGCTGAGGCAGGAAGGTCATTACAAGTTCAAAACCAGCAGAGAATTGTATTTTGACACTTTTTGGCTTTTGTGTTTGATACATCATTTAAATAAATAGCAAGTTTCAAGTGAAATGAATTTCCATTGCTTTTGGAACCATAAGCAAAACAAAAACTTGGATGTCCCTAATTGCCTCTTTACCCAGCACAATGTGACCCGCTTACCCTTGTTTATCTGTTCGTTCTTGCTGCTGGGATTTGGGCCAGGCCTTCACCCTGAGCTCCATCCCCAGCCCTTTGCATTTTTCACTTTGCGGCAGGGTCCCGCTAAGCTGACCCATGTTGAGTGTGCATTTCAGGGCTGTGCAGCGCCTTGGTCTTTGCAAACTGTGGCTCTGTCCATTGAGCAAGAGCCACGCCCCCAGGCCTGGCCACCACCCTGCTGTGCGTGTGGTGGCCGCACCCTAGAGACCAGGCTTTGTGTGACTGGTGTCTCTCACTTGGCTTGGTGTCCAGAAGTCCCCCCGTGTCGCGCTGTAAGGATTCCCTTTTTTTGTTTGTTTTTGTTTTTTGGTCTTTCTGAGACAGGGTCTCACTATGCAGTTCAGGCTGGCCTTGAGCTCACTTTGTAGCCCAGGCTGGTCTCGAACTCGCAAGGATCCTCCTGCCTCAGCCTCCCCAGTGCTGGGATTACAGGCGTGTGCCACCACTCCCGCTCAGGAATATCCCCTTTATTTCAACACATTTTTCAAGTCGGTTCATCTCCCCTGCACACACAGGACCCTGTGACGCAGGCTGCTTCGAACCTGGTTGTGCAGACGTCTCCCGAGCCTGTTTCTCCTGGGAGTGCACTCACAGTAGAGTGGCTGGATCATGTGCTCATTCTATTTTTAATGTTTGGAGGCCCCGCCAAATGTTTCCCAGGGCAGCCGCCGCCTTCTGGATCCCCACCAGGAGCAGGCGGTGCCGCTTCCAACTTCCCATCCACCCCTGACAGCAGCCGTCCTGGGCGGGAGGTGGCGCCTCGCTGTGGCTTGGACTGCATTTCCCTGGCGGTCACTCCTGCTGAGCACCTCTGCTTGATTTATTGGCCATTTGTAGATTTTCTTTGGAGAAATGTCTGTTCATGTCTTTTGCCCTGACTTCTTTCATGTTAATGAAGTTGAACTTAGAAGGGTAGAGCCATGCGTTTCCACCGGCCGCGGTACAGGAAACCCCAGGCCTGTGTACCTCCGCACCCACAGTGAACTGCAGACCCTGTCATTTCACTCCTGGACTTTTCAGGATGTGTCTGGTGGGGGAGGAGGGCTTTTTACTGAGCTACATCCCCAGGCTTACCTCTCCCTTTTTTTTTTTTTGAGACAGGGTCTCACTGTGTAGTTCAGGCTGGCCTGTACCCCAGGCTGAACTCAAACTGGTGGCGATTCTCCTGCCATAACTCCCTGAGTGTGGCACCATGCCCAACCCACCCATCCCTTTTTTGAGTCAAGGTCTTGTGCAGGCTGCCCTCAAATTTAAGATCCTCTTGTTTCAGCCTCCCAGAGTGCTGGGATTACAGGAACATGATGTCACACTCAGCTCTGACGCATTTTTTAAAGGAAAGAATTCTTAAAGAAAAACAAAACAAACCGAAAATTCATGATGCTATCATGGTGCATGCTTGTTATCCCACGATTTCGGAGGCTGAGACAGGAGGATTGCTGCAAGTTTGAGTCAAGTGTGGGCTACATAGTGGGTTCAAGGCCAGCCTGAGCTACATAGTGACAGTCTGTCTCAAAAAAAAAAAAAATTATGGTTGAAATGTAAACACTTGAACTCTCACTTCAGCCTCCTGAGTAGCTCAGACTACGGGCTGTACCTGACTTGTAAGGGGTTTTAGTTATTTTGGTTTGTTTTTCTTGTTGTTGTTTTGTTTAAAATAGGTCTTGCTGTGTAGTCTGGGCTGGCCTTGAACTTGTGGCAATCCTCCTGCACCAGCTTCCTGAGTGCTGGGATTACAGGCATGCACCACAATACACGCCCGGCTTGGTTTGCTTTTCTTTCTTTTTTTTTTCTGGTTTGTTTTTTTAAGGCAAGGTCTTGCTATATAGTTCAGGTTGGCCTCAAGCTTGCAATCTTCCTGCCTTGGCCTGACGTTCCCCCAGAGGAGGAGGGAAAGCTACTCGGAACTCCTGCTGTCCTCTTCCTTGCGTCTGTCTCTTTCTCAGCACTGAAACATGCCAGGCACTTGTGAGGTGACGCTGCAGCGCCGTCACCCTGCCTGGTGATGCTGTCTTAGCATTCCTGCTGTACCTGCTCCGAAGGATGTGACGGACAGAGGGGCTCTATGGGTCAGGGCGCTGGGTGGGGCACAGCCCCAGCTGGCCACCCCTCCCTACTGCAGGATGTGGGGCACATTAGCAGCCCCCCACCCAGTGCCTCAGTTCCCTCATCTGTGGAGTAATATGGTAGAAGGCTCTGCCTGATAAAGACTTCCAGATGGAGAAGCAGCCGTCGTGGTGCATCGTCACCACCCTTAGAGTCCATGTGCCGATTCACCCGCTCCAAAAAATGGCCCTTCTTGGTCATTTGCAAAAGGATGGAGAGTAGTGAAAAAAAATCTAAGTCACCTGAGGTTCTGCCCTCTCATTCTGCGCGTGACCACTGCACGACCTATTGCCCTGTCTGCATGTCACTGGGGGGGTGTGTGTGTGTGAGTGGTGATTTCACTGTTCACGGTGCTCCCTCGCACGGAGGCTGCGATGCCTCGGGGACATATCTGTGACAGTGAGCTATGAGCTCCAGGCGAGCAGAGGAACACTACGAGGTGTGACGAAACACTACCGTGAATGGTCTTGGTTTTCAGTGGGTTGCAGTAGAAGACACAGCACCATTAATCTCCCTGTGAAGACCCGCCCCCCGGCTGGGAACACATTCATCCCACCGTTCTTGCCGCTTTCTGCAGCCGGTCTGGGGTCCTCTTTCCTGCGTGTCTTTCGTTGTACTGTCGTGGCTACCTCAGCGTCCTGAATCCATTCGGGATGTTGCCCTTCCATGTCATCGTGACTTTGGAGAAAAGCCGAAATCGCGTGGTGGCAGGTTGGGTGCATCACGCGGATGAGGACGTGCTGTGGTAATTTTACGCACCTGCCTTTCTGTTGGGCGGCAGCAACCTTTACCTCACTTGTGTCCACACTTTGTAAAGAAAGGAGGGGCCGGGGATATGGTTCAGCAGTACAGCGCCTGCCTGGCAAGTGAGAGGTCCTGAGTTCGATTCCCGGCACAAAAAAAAGGAAAGAAAGGAAATCTGTAAAGACACAAACGAGGACTTCAGAACAGCTTCAGGACAGAGGCAAGGACGGAATAAGTGCGTTCCAGGCGAGGGTGATCTTCGGCAGTGTGTCTTTTACTGTAATACACTTTCTAAAAATGTGAACCGTTACTGGTGACCTGTTGTGGCCAGTGGATGAGGCTGTTGTGGTGAGAGGCTCCCAGGAACCTGGGCTTCGAGTACCCTCACCCCCCCAGGGCTGCCCGAGTCACGAGGCCGGGCTTGTGTGGCCAGACCGCAGCGCCGGGCTTGTCCGGTGTCATGTGATTGCAGTCTGTGGAGCGTGTCGCTCCGTGCACTTCGTGTGCGCGATGACGGAGTGCTAGTTCGTGGGCTTCGAACTCAAACCTGTCCCCTCCTTGTGTTCTTCCCTGCCCACCCCCGTCCGCCGTCTGTCCCCTCGCTGCACAGTCTGCCTCCCTCCCACGGCTGCGGCCCCGACCCTGCGCCTCATTCTGTCCGTCTGTCTGTCACTGAGCACGTCTTTCCTGCTCACGCAGCCTCTCATTCTCTCCCGCAGCTGGCCCCCGAGAGGACACTCTCCAAGTCCCCAGCTGGGGGCCCCGCGTAGACCTGGAGCGGACACCCCCACCTCCCCTTCATGATTCGTTTGTAGCACAGGTAACGGGGTGGGGAGGGTCCCGTCTATTCCTGAGGCAGCCGCCCCTCCACACACTTCCTGGGCCCACCGCGGTGCTCCAGGGAGAAGGCCTGGCTTCCCCTGCAGACGGCTCCCTGGGTCCTTGGGGCCTCCCTGCAGCCCTCCTGCAGACCCCGAGCAGACTGTACCTTTTCAGGCTGCTCTCAGGCAGGTTGGAGAACGAGGGTCTCATGGGCCACAAATCTGGTGACACAGAAAGAAGCAGGCAGAGCTGAGGCTGCTGAGGAGCAGGATGGTCACGCGCACGGCGTGGCCCTGGGCCCGTGTGTCCTATCTGCGCCTCCTGGCTGGAGGGGGAGTGGGAGCCGGGCCGGGCGTGTAACACATCCGCTGTGCACGCTTCTGAGGAGGGTCGATAGATTTTGCCAGCTTTCCCAGGGCTCAGGGGAGAAGCCTCACTTCTGGGGCCCCTGTCTGAGATTCTGCCTTGTGCACAGTACGCCTGAGGCCTGGAGCTGGGGTCACTGCCAGGCACAAGCAGAGCACTTTCTGGGTGAAGGGACCCCACAGAGCTTGTGTGCCTGTGTGGGAGGTGATCCACCCGGTCCGCACACCCTTAGTGACATCCAGGACCTTACACACGCATGCGCGGGAGGGTGGGAGTCCAGAGGCGCCCTGTGCGCCCCTCCTGGATGTGCGCCTGCCTTGCCAGCCACACCTTGTCTGTCCTGGGGGTGAGGGTGGTTTAAAATGGAAATTTGGAAGGATGGAGGGAGTGGGGGTCACAAAGGACAGGCAGGTACCTGGGGCCGTCGGCAGGCGGATGGAGGGTGCTTGGGAGGCTGGGTAGGGGTGGGCGCTAGTGGATAGACCCAGGCAGCACCAGGCACCCGGTGTGAAACAGGATGAACACCACCCCACCCCACCCCCCGCGACCCCGGGATCAAACGTGCTAACATTTGTGACGCGCTCAGACTGTGCCCAGCAAGCGCTCAGCAAACGTTAGCCCTCCTCATCCTCATCATTCTCCGGGCAGCCTCTGACTCCGCACCCACCCTCACGGCCCTCGCTTCTGCCTTGGTTTCCGGTAACCCCTCTTCCTGAGAGTCACGCTGCCTAGGGCTCAGGGGGACCCGGGACTCAGACTCTCGGCCCTTCCTGCCGGCCCCTTGCTCCCTCCGTCGCCCTGTCACCCTCAGGACAGGCCCCTCCACACCTGAGGAGCGGGACAGCGGGTGGTGAGGACTGTGGGCTCCAGGCCAGGCCCTGCCACCTGCTCGCTGGGAGACGGAGAGTGACCATTTTGGTGCCTCCTGCTCCTCATCTGCAAGGCCAGGTGGCCGGTCCCCTCGTTGCCTTGGTAGGGACCCGTGAAGCCCTGTGTGTCCAGGGCGCTTAGCGCCAGGCCTGTGTGCAACCAGGGCTCTCCTGGTTTGGCTGGACACCGTCCACCTCGGGGGGCTGGGGAGAGTGAGGACAGGAGGGAAGGGACCGTGAGCCTCCGCCTCACCTGTCCCTGGGGACTCACGGGAGAGGAAGCTGCAGCACCCCAGGGCTCCCTGAAGGGAGGGGCTGGGCGCTCCGCCACTATCTAACCTTGTCTCCCTCGCCCTCTTCCTGACCCCACCCATCCAGTGGCGATGGATGATGAGGATGGGAGATGCTTACTAGACGTGATTTGGTGAGTAACGGGCTCCCCGCCCTCTGTCTCCGATGCCCTCCCTCCTCCCTGCCCAGCCCTCGGCCTCAGTGTCCCTCTTTTCTCTTTCAGTGACCCTCAGGCCCTCAACGACTTCTTGCACGGGTCGGAGAAGGTGAGTGCGGCACGTGCTGAGCAGGGCTGGGCTCTGTGCTGAGCGGGGCGCGCAGTGGGTCCCTGCCCTCACACCAAATGTATGCCCTTAGTCAGTGAGGAAGCTGGGAACTAATAACATGGTGGCGGTGAAAAAGCACCGTTCAGAGTGTGATAAAAAAATAAAAGGTCAACCGGGTGTGGTGGCGCATACCTGTAATCCCAGCACTCAGAAGGCTGAGGCAGGATCGCTGCTAGTCTGAGGCCAACCTGAGCTACATAGTGAGTTCAAGGCCAGCCTGCCATATGTAGCAATACCCTATCTCAAAAAACAAAGCAAAAAACTTCACCTGTATAGAAAAAGAGGTTTGGGAGGGGGAGGATCAGTGCAGGGTGCTTACCTAGCATTTACAAGGTCCTAGGTCCAATCCGCAGCACAGGAAAACAAGTAGAAGAGAAAATGAGTGGGGTGAGGGGCTCCTTTAGTGTGTCCAGAGAGGGTGACTAAGGAGGTGACCCTGCAGGTGGCCACAGTGCTCCAGGTAAGGGAAGAGCAGGGGCACGGGTGGGGGAGGGGCCGGACTGCAGGGGAGGTGGGTGGAAGGTGAGACAGGAGTAGGTGAGGCAGAAGCCGCCTGGTAAAGCGGGCCTGGGAGAGTTGGTTTTTACTCTGGCAGCAGCTGTGCGGGTGTTAAGCACGGCGGGCAGACGTGCTGTGCCTGCAGGAGCCCGGGACGCAGGGGCCTCACTGTAGCGCTGCGTCAGTGTCCTTGGGACGCGGCAGCTGCCACCCCAGAGTGGTGATCAGAGGGTATCCCCAGGGTCACACACTTCCCTCACAGAGTCCACATGGCAGCTCAGGGTCACTAAGTCCAGGCCCCCTTGGGGGGTGGAACTGAGCTCCCTGCTGCGAGGAAAAAATAGCTGGTAGTTCAGGGACCGAGGTAGTGGTGGCCTGCGCCAATAGAGTGGAGGGGCTGAGGGGTGCGGGTTGGGGCCCATTTGGGAAGCAGAGTCAGCCAGACTTGCTGGTGGCCATGATGACGGATGGTGCCTGAGTGACTGAACCGGGGGCATGGGCTTGAGCCAGTGAGTGGGCTGTGCTGAGTTGGGAGTTGGGGTGGGGTCCCGAAGTGAGGGGAGCTGTTGGGCATCCCAGCTAAGCTTCTGGGAGACCTGCGGGGAGGCCTGGGCCATCGACAGAGGCGCCAGGTGCTGTCTGGGCGCTGAGACGCGTTAGAGCTGGTGCCCCGGGGTGTTAAGCCCTCACCCGTGGGGAGGAGGGCAGGCGCTCCTGGCCAGAAGCTTGCGGCCAACCCCCACTTTGGAGTCGCTGAGCAGAGGTTCCTGTACCCGCCCCCCAGCACTGTGCTGAGCCTGGGCTCCCTGCTGACCTTTCACCTTGGGGGTGGCTCTCGTTGCAGCTGGACAGTGATGACCTCCTGGATGCCCCCGGAGAGGCCCAAAGTGCCTTCTATGAAGGTCCTGGGGTAAGTGGCCTCGCCCAGGTTGCCCTGGCGCGGTGGCAGTCAGTGGGAGGCAGGCCTGGGCCCTTAGGGGCTTCGGCCTGGGAAGGCATGAGCGGTCACAGGGGGCGGCACGGTTCTGGGGCAGTAAGGTCGGTACAGGCTCCGGGAGCCCCAGGGGACACTTGGTGGGAGAGGGGCTGGGACACAGCCATGGGGCGCGTGACCTGAGGGGGACCTCCTCGCTGCAGACCTCAGACCAAAGCCCAGAACAGCCCCTTCCTTGTCCACCGTTGTACCTGTCATTCCCTGAGCACTTAATGGACTCCCGGCTCTTTCCGGCGCTTGTCGTCCCGTCCTTACAGTAACTGTAATATCAGGCTCCAGACAGCGTGAGTGATTGCATTCAGAAGCAGCGGTGGCACGTGCCGTCACGCACTTACACTTACAGACCCGGCAGCAGCGCTGACCGCGCGGGTCGTCTGTGTTGTGCCATTGCTCTTGTCGTAGCTATCGTTCCTTCGTAGCCATAGGGTCCCTGGCCGAGTCCTGAGCCCTGTGCAGAGGTGACGTCTTTCCACACTTGCCTTAGCAGGCGCATTGGTTGTACCCTCAGGCAGTTGGGGCACTTGGCCTGCCCAGTCCTCGCAGGCTGGGAGCTGAGCAGACCCCCATCCCGGCAGCCCTTGTGCCCCTCACTAGCTCGGGCCCTGGGCCTTCCTGCCTGGCGCAAGGCGGGGAGCAGTGGCCGCCTCCCTGAGCTACTGCTGACAGCGTGAGTGGCAGTGAGAGTGACTGTGACGTCCCTCACACTTGTGCCGTGGGCCAGGCGTGGCTGTGAGCCCTCTGTGTGGATCACGGTCTTTCCAATTTCAGGTTTTATTTTTCCCTTGAACTTTTTTTTTCTTTTGTGGTTCTGGGAATTAAAATCTAGGGCCCTCACACTGAGCTAATCCCCTGCGTGCACCCAACCCCTGCCACCCGCCTTTATTTTTTTATTTTTGAGACAGAATTTCACTAAATTGCTCAGGATAGGTTTAAATTTGTGAACCTCCTGTCTCAGCCTCCCAGAGGGCTGGGATTACAGGCCTGTACCACTGTACCCGGCTTCCAACTGCAGGTTTAGACCTATTCTCTGGACAAAGATCGGTGGCTGAGGCACCCCTGCCTCAGTGTGGCTTGTGGAGTGCAGCTCAGATAGGTGTACCTAGATTCCTAGGTGCGGTCCTGGATCTCCATCCGGGACAGCAGGAGAAACACTTAAGAAACGTTGTACTCGTGGACTCACTGATGGCAGCTACCGCCGCCACCACTGCTGTGGTGATTTTTTTTTTTTTTTTTGAGAAAGTGTCTTGCCACGTAGTTCAGGCTACCCCGAACTATGTAGCCCAGGCTGGCCTTGAACTCAGTGATCCTCCTGCCTCAGCCTCCTGAGTGCTGGATGACAGGTGTGCAGCACCGTGCCCAGCCCTGCTGTGGTTTTTAACCTAGCCTTAGTCCTTCATTGGAAGCCTCTGGGGCCAGGCGTGTTTTTAAAATTCAGAATTTTTTTCAAGTTCTAGAAAGGGAGTGAGTTATTTTTATTCCCTTTCACTGAGCACCACTGGGGAGACTGAGGTCAGATCAAGCAAACCCCAGGTCGCATAGCCAGATGCCAGGTTTGATCACAATTCCAAACAGAAAGTTCCTTCTTGGACATAGCTGTCTTGGCACCAGGTGTCCTTCGTGGCAGCTGTGGCCCAAGCCCAACTCTTGGCCAACCTCACCTCCTCCCTTCCTCCCGCCCTGGCCTCCAGCTCCACGTGCAAGAAGCTTCCGGCAACCACCTGAACCCTGAGCCCAGCCAGCCAGCCCCCAGCGTGGACCTGGACTTCCTGGAAGATGACATCCTGGGCTCACCCGCCACGGCGGGTGGCGGCGGAGCGGGCGGGGGCACCGACCAGCCCTGCGACATCCTTCAGCAGAGCCTGCAAGAGGCCAACATCACGGAGCAGACACTTGAGGCCGAGGCCGAGCTGGACCTGGGCCCCTTCCAGCTACCCGCACTGCAGCCCGCCGATGGCGGGGCGGGCCCCACAGGTGCTGCGGGGGCAGCCGCTGTGGCCACGGGACCCCAGGCCCTCTTCCCAGGCAGCGCTGACCTGCTGGGGCTGCAGGCGCCACCCACCGTGCTGACCCACCAGGCCCTGGTGCCGCCCCAGGACGTGGTCAACAAGGCTCTGAGCGTGCAGCCCTTCCTGCAGCCCGTGGGCCTGGGCAACGTGACGCTGCAGCCCATCCCCGGCCTCCAGGGCCTGCCCAACGGCAGCCCTGGGGGCGCCGCAGCTGCCACTCTCGGCCTGGCACCCATCCAAGTAGTGGGCCAGCCTGTCATGGCACTCAACCCACCCACCTCGCAACTCCTGGCCAAGCAGGTGCCTGTGAGCGGCTACCTGGCCTCAGCAGCCGGCCCTTCAGAGCCAGTGACCCTGGCATCGGCTGGCGTGTCCCCCCAGGGGGCCGGCCTGGTCATCCAGAAGAGCCTTCCAGCCGCTGTGGCCACCACACTCAACGGGAACTCGGTGTTTGCAGGGGCAGGGGCTGCCACTGTGGCAGCCAGCGGGGCACCCTCGGGACAGCCGCTGGCGGTAGCCCCAGGCCTGGGCACGTCGCCACTGGTGCCAGCCCCCAACGTGATACTGCACCGCACACCCACGCCCATCCAGCCCAAGCCCACCGGCGTGTTGCCTCCCAAGCTCTACCAGCTGACACCCAAGCCCTTCGCCCCCACAGGTGCCACACTCACCATCCAGGGTGAGCCGGGGGCGCTCCCGCAGCAGCCCAAGGCCCCGCAGAACCTGACTTTCATGGCGGCGGCGGGCAAGGCTGGCCAGAACGTGGTGCTCTCGGGCTTCCCGGCCCCCGCCCTCCAGGCCAACGTCTTCAAGCAGCCCCCGGTCACCACTGCGGGCACAGCGCCGCCTCAGACCCCTGGGGCCCTGAGCAAGCCCATGAGCGTCCACCTGCTGAACCAGGGCAGCAGCATCGTCATCCCTGCGCAGCACGTCCTGCCGGGCCAGAACCAGTTCCTGCTGCCCGGTGCACCTGCCGCCGTGCCGCTGCCCCAGCCCCTCTCCGCCCTGCCGGCCAACGTGGGCGGCCAGATCCTCACGGCCACAGCCCCCCACCCGGGCGGACAGCTCATCGCCAACCCCATCCTCACCAACCAGAACCTGGCAGGCCCACTGAGCCTGGGCCCAGTCCTCGCCCCCCACTCCGGGGCCCACAGCGCTGCACACATCCTCTCGGCCGCGCCCATCCAGGTGGGGCAGCCAGCGCTCTTCCAGATGCCTGTGTCGCTGGCCGCCGGCAGCCTGCCCACACAGAGCCAGCCGGCCCCTACTGGCCCCGCTGCCACCACCGTCCTTCAGGGGGTCACCCTGCCCCCCAGTGCCGTGGCCATGCTCAACACCCCCGATGGGCTGGTGCAGCCGGCCACCCCCGCCGCAGCCACCGGGGAGGCCACGCCCATCCTCGCAGTGCAGCCTGCTCCCCCGGTACCCCCTGCGGTCAGCACGCCACTGCCCCTGGGCCTCCAGCAGCCGCCACCACAGGCCCCACAGGTCCCTGCCCCGCAGGCTGCGGCCCCGCCTCAGGCCACCACCCCGCAGCCCAGCCCGGTCCTGGCATCCAGCCCAGAGAAGATCATCCTGGGGCAGCCGCCCACCGCCGCCACCACGGCCATCCTCACTCAGGACTCCCTGCAGATGTTCCTGCCCCAGGTAATGGGGCCGGCAGGCCAGGTGGGCAGGGAAGTGGGGGTGGGGGCAGAGGTGACACCAGAGAGAGCCCAGACAGCCGGAGGGCTGGGGTGGGACTCAGTGCTCGGAGCATCTCAGAAGTGGCCGGATGCTGGGCCCCCGGGGGGCACCGGGGTGAGGGACCCAGCTGAGCTGATGGGACAGATTGGTAGGCTGCGTGACTGACGGACATAAGGGGAGGAGAGGCCGGCCACCTGACAAGCAGGGAGAGAGGAGAGCCTCAGGGAGGGAGCGAGATGTGGACGGCTGGACAGACAGACAGACAGGCGGGAGACAGGTACTGGGGTGGAGCTAAGTGGAGCTAAAGACAGCCGACTGGACGGAGCGAGGTCCCTAGGTCCCAGCCCCTGGGGCCCCTGGCTGACTGGCACCCTGTTCTCTGGGGCCCCAGGAACATCAGTGGGCGTGGGCTCATGGTGGGGGGCTGGGACCGTGGGGTGGCCTTCTGACCCCATGCGGCCACCGTTGCAGGAGAGGAGCCAGCCACCCCTCTCCACAGAGGGCCCCCACCTGTCCGTGCCTGCCTCGGTCATAGTCAGCGCCCCGCCTCCCGCCCAAGACCCAGCCCTGGCTACCCCCATCGCCAAAGGAGCTGGCCCTGGCCCTCAGGCCCCCGACAGCCAGGCTTCCCCGGCTCCGGCCCCCCAGGTAGACGGACTCCAGCAGCCTCTGTCCTCAGTGCAGACCTGGCCTCGCCCCGCCCCGCCCCGCCTCTCGCTCTCCTCCACCCCTGCCGCCTCCTCCTGTTCTTCCTCCTTCTCCTCCTCTTTCTCCTCCTCCTCCTCCTTGCGCTCTGCCTTGCCTGCCTCTGTTGCGCTGACTTGGGACATGGTGCTCTCCTCTGTCCCCGTTCCCGCCACTGTATTTCCTGAGAGTCTCATGATGATCACGGACACTTGAGAGCAGGACCAGCTCGGGGGTCTTACGCACTAGGCAGGGGTGCACAATGCCCATGGCGTGAGCCTGAGTTGCTTCGGCAACTCAGGGTGCCGGGACAAGAGAATTGCTGTGAGTTTGAGGCCAGCCTGGGCTACACAGCAAGACCCTGTCTCCAAAAAAGAAAAAAAGAAAAGAAAGCAAATGCACAGGGTGGGAAACGAGTTATCTCTAAAGTTAGCATTTTCACTTCTGAGACCGGCAGGAACCATGCAAAATCTGGCAGTGACAAGGAGCTCCCTCTCCTGGCATTCAGCCCCGTGAAGACCCTCTTGAGGCGGCTTCCTGCTGCGCCCCCCTGTGCGTGGACAAGCAGCACACTCCGGCTGCTGTCCTTTCCATCCGCACCGACCTGCCGTGCAGGCTGCCTCCCGTGTGCCTGTCATTGCCGGGGACTGCTGCTGTGCCTGTCCCATTGCAGGGCTGTGCTAGCGTTACAGCAGCTCCTTACTGCACTCTAAACATGGTCTTTAGCTGTCATGAACAAAGCTGCACAAAAAGGCTTTGTTACACGGTGATTCTGGAAGATACCTTTTTTTTGGGTTTTTTTGAGACAAGGTCTTGCTGTGTAGCTCACACTGGCTTTGAACTTACTCTGTAGCACAGGCTGGCCCCAACTTAAGTCATCCTCCTGCCTCAGCCTCCTGAGTCTGCAGTTACAGGCATGTGCTATCATACGTGGCTTAAGATAAGCTCTTTCAGAGGAAGCTGCTGGGTTGAGGGAATATGCGATTGTATTTCTGAGGAATGGTGCCTGTTGCAGGCCTCGGACTATTAGTTGGTTTTACCTTCATCAGCAAGATCCAGTTTGTGCCTGTTTTTCCAGTGTTGTCCAGGGACTGAACTCAACCCATCTGATTGATGGAAAGTGGTGCCTTGCGTTGATCAAATTTGTATTTGTTTTGTTGTGAATGAGACCTGGCAGGCTTGCAGAGATGAAGAGCCGTGTGTAGATTCTGTTCCATGCAACTGCCTGTTTCTGTCCTTTGCTGATTTAAAGTTCTAGTGGCTGGTCGTGTTTTTGTGGATTCTTAGGAACTCTACAGAGTGAAAGAGAAGCTTTTATCTCCTATTAGCGATAGGCACGTGGGAAGGGGGTGCCCTTTTACTCTGAGGGAGGACCTTAGACTCATCCAGAAAGGACCAGTGGGGGTGGGGGGAAGAGGTGGTAGTGGTACCAGCTGAGGGAGGGGCAGCAGTAGCCTGGGCTTTGGCCTCCAGGCCTGGGCTTCACTTTCAAACTCTGCCTCTTCCCACGGAGCCGGGGCCCCCATGCTGCCCTGTGTGAGCCGGCGCTGGGGGTGAGATGGAGCGGCTTGCCTGTGGAGTAAATGAGTTAAACCTGTGCAGCGCAGGGTTAGTATTGATAAATATTAACTGTGTCGTGTTGGGTTTTGTCAGTACTGAGGATTGAACCCAGGGCCTTCGCCCTGAGCTGCATCAATGCTCTTTTTGTAAATTTTGAGACAGGGTCTTGCTAAATTGCCCAGGCTTGGTTTAAACCTGTGATCCTCCTGCCTCAGCCTCCCAGAGTGCTGGATTACAGCTGTGTGCCACTGCACCGAGCTTGGTGTTCTTGTTTCTAGCTGCTGTGATGGGAAGGACCATGGGACTGATCCTGAGTCGCCAGAGAGGGCCACAGGGCCAGGACGGTGCCAGATCATTGGTGGTGGGAATCGAGGGGTGGGGGCGGGGCACTAGTCCCTGGCCTCAGACTGAGTTGGAGGTACAGTTTCTGGGTCCCCAGCTAGTGACTTCCTCTCGCAGCTGCCTGTCCTCAGCTGCGGTGTGGGGATGTGAGTCCCTGCTGCAGGCGCTGTGGTTGAGAGCCAGGCGGGCGTCCGTGTGTTCCCTGAGGAAGCTGCCTTGTTGCAGATCAGCAGGTACTATGCCACATTCTTCTCCAAGGCGAGCAGCCGCCCTTTGACCCAGCACTGCCTTCTCTCTCCGATATAGGGTTTTCACTTTTAAAAACACACCTGCAATCCCAGCACTGTGGGAGGCTGAGGCAGGGGGTGGCAAGTTTAAGCCCAGCCAGGGTGAATCAGCAAAATCAAACCCACCCTCAGCCAGTCCCGCACGAGCAGGCTGAGCTGCCCTCCACAGCCGCTCCTCCGCACCCTTCGTCTCCAGTGCGGCCCGAGCCTGCGCGGCCGTGCTCGTCCCTCGGCGCATGCGCTCCCTGGCCCTGCGAGTGCAGCTTTCAGACTGTCTCGGTGGATGCAGGATGACATCAACCCTGGGAGGGCAGGGACGGCAGGTGGCAGGTCGCCGGCGAAGGCAGCTTGGTGGGACAGGAGCACACAGCGGGCCGAGCGGCTGGGTGGCCCAGTGGCAGAACGGCCTGTGTGAAAACCACTGTTCTAGGCGATGAAGTGGGCCCCACACTGTGACCTCCGACCTCTGGACTCAGATTGACAGGCTGGGTGTGTGTGCACTTCCTCTTTGTGTCCACACAGCATAAGTGCGTGGACTATGTCATTCTGTTCATCTTACGGGCTTTTTTTTGTCTTTTTGAGACAGGGTCTTGCTATGCAGTTCAGGCTGGCCTTGAACTCACTTTGTAGCTCAGGCTGGCCTCGAACTCACAATGATTCTCCTGCCTCAGCCTCCCGAGCGCTGGGATTACAGGCGTGCGCCACCACACCTGGCCTTACTGGCTTATTTAACTCCCTCCTTCAGCACTGCCTCGATGCTGTCTGCCACCACCCTGCACAAGACTTTGGTCTCGTGTCACTGCCCCAATGCACATGACGGTCTGTGTCACCAAAACAACAGTTTCCTAAAGTAATACACCTAGCAGTACTCTGTGTGCAGCACACTCATATATTTATTCTGTGTTTGGTGGGGTGGTTTTGGCAATACTGGTGATTGAGCCCACGGCCTTCGCACTGAGCTTCATCCCTGGCCCTTTTTATTGTTTGCTTTGAAGACGGGTCTCGCTAAATTGCAAAGTTGCCCGAGCTGTAATAGATCTTGTGATCCTCTTGCCTCAGCCTCCCAGAGTCCTTACAGGTGTGCGACGCCACACCCGGCCATTTCTAGTGGGCACCAAGTGCAGCTGGCAGACCAGGCGAGGGTTGCGGTGTGGAGCGAGGAGGGGGCTCCAGGAGCCCAGCTCCGCTGCTTACAGACTGTGACCTTAGGTGCTACCTCCGTGCCTCAGTTTCCTAGCCTGTAAAGTATCAGGGATGATCGCAGCAGCTACTTTGTTTCCAGGCTTAAATAAATTGACTTGTGTGGTGCCCTCGGGTCGGGGTGGGCACCGGGAAGGGCTGTGCAGTGAGAGTAGCCCAGAAAACTGCTGACGTGCTTATTTTCCAGGCAGATTCCCTCTGGGGACAGTAGCGTGCAGGGCGCTTGGTCTCATCATGGTGCAGAGGCTGCATGGGAATAAATGGGCTGGGTGTGTTCAAGAAAACTGAATATACAGACACTGACTTTTAGAATTGCATGTCATTTTCACAAGTCACAGAATATCATTCTTTGGTACTTTTCCCCTAATCATTTAAAAATGTAAAACACCATTTATCTCGGGCCCTGTTGAGTGATAGGTCCTGTTGGACAGTAGGCCAGGTTTGCTTGTGGGCTGTCGTTTGCCTTTCCATTTTGTCGTCTCGGTTGGATTTTGCTATGTAGTAGGTCTGTTGTGTCTGTTGGGAATTGATTCCAGGACCCCTGCGCAGTTGTTGAAGATTCACAAATGCCTAAGTCCCTTGTTGAAAGTGGCATAGAATATCCTTTTTAGTGGTGCTGGTGGGGAAGCCAGAGACCCTGCATGGTAAGCAGGCACTCTGCTGAGCCGCACCCCAGCCCAGTGGCACGGTACGTGCTCGTGACCCTCACACCCTCCCAGGCTCCAGTCTCAGTCCCACAGCACTCGGGAGGCTGAGGCAGGATGATAACCAAGAGTTCGAGGCCAGCCTGAGCTCCATAGTGAGGTGAAGGCCAGCCTGAACTACATAGCCAGACCCTGTCTCCAAAAAAAGAGAAAAACTAACAGTGTAAACACTGGGCAAACAGTTGTTACACTTATTATTTGAGTAATGACAAGGAAAAAAAAATGCCTGTGAATGTTCCGTACATGTGCAATTCTTCTCTTTTTTTTTTTTTTTTTGAGACAAGGTCTTGCCATGTAGTGCAGGCTGGCCTTGAACTCACTATGAAGCCCAGGCTGGCCTTGAACTTGCAGTGATCCTCCTGCCTCAGCCTCTCAAGTGCTGGGATTACAGGTGTGCGCCAACATGCCTGGCAACACATTTTAATTCTTAATTTTCCCTCTCCCTCCATCTCTTGGATCTCTTCTTCTTTTCCTTTTGTTTTTTTGTACATGTTTGCAGCACACAGCCATCATATTCCTCATAGGAATAGAGGATATTTTAAACTTGGAAACAAGGTCTTGCTAAGTTACTAAGTTGCGAGGGGGGGGTGCTGCCTCAGCCTCCCAGCTTGCAGGCACTGGCAGGCCTGTGCAGTCCTCTCCTCTGCATCGCTCCCCATCTGTGGCCGGCGCTGAGGACAGGGACCCTGGGCTGTGCAGGAGGCCAGCCTCACGCACTCACTGTGGGTGCTCATTCAGTCCCCGCTGCTGGCCACTTAAGGTAGCACTAGGGGAATTGCAGGAGCCAGAAGGCAGCCTGCTGGGGGCGTTTTCTGGAGACTCAGGGGTGCTTCCTGCGGGGCTGGGCCGCCTGGCTCCCCTTCCAGCTGCACCACACTAGGCACAGAGAGCCCTTGCCCCTGCGCTTCTGAGTGTGGGCGATGTGAACTTTTGCTGCCTATGCACCGGCAAGGGAAACTTCTTAGTAAACTGTTGCAGTGTTTTGCTTTGTTTTGTTTGTGATTGGGCTGGGGATGTCGCTTAGGGGTAGAGCACTTGCCTAGAAGACATGAGGTCCTGTATTCACCCCTAGTACCGGAGAAGACTGTAAAAGTCATTTTGCTCGTGTGAAGAATTTAGAAAACACAGAAAAGGACAAAGAAGGAAAATTAAGCACCTGTATTGCCACCGTGTGGACGCAGTGGGTAGCATTTTAGTTTGTGGTTTTCATCAAGCCCCACCCACTTAAAATGTGTTTAGGCGGGATGTGGTAGTTCATGCCTGTAATCCTAGCACTTAGGAGGCTGAGGCAGGAAGATCACCAGCCTGTTCAAGGCCAGCCTGAACTTCATATCGAGACGCTGTCTCAAAAGAAGAAAAAAAGAAACAAAAAAATGTGTTTTGAAATTCAGGAAGAAATGTCCCACCCTATCCCATCATTCCCAGCCCAGCACTCCCTTGGTTCCCTCTAGGTAAGCACAAGAACCCACCTTTTTTTTTTTTCTCTGATACCAGGAATTGAACTCACGACCTTGCGCTTGCCAGGCAGGCGCTGTGCCGCTGAGCTAAATTCCCAGCCCCTTTTTTGTTGTTTTTCAACACATGATCTCACTACGTGGCCCAGGCTGGCCCCAAACTCTCGATTCTCCTGCTGCAGCCTCTTGGGTGCTGGGATTACAGGTGTTTCCCACCACACCTGGCTAATAACTCATTTCTAAAAGTCTTTCCAGTTCTGGGTGCTTATGAGCAACCTACTGCAAAGAGCCGTTTACATTTCTCTCCCACGTGTTCCCAGAAGACTGCACATTATCCACTGGGCAGCTCACCAAGAGTCCCCAACTTCCCGGCACCTCTGTGTGTGTCACGGTGATTCACTTCCCTAGTAAACACTACCAAGACACATTAGGCCCCCTCCTAGGCTTTTGGTGTCCACCTGGAGCTGCAGGAGCTACTCATTCGCTAAGTTGCCCGGGCTGGCCTAAACTTGTGATCCACTTGCCTAGGCCTCCCGAGTAGCCGCGATTACAGGTGTGCACCAGCACGCCCTCCCACCTGCCTTTACTTTGGCAAGCTGGGGCTGTACCCCAGCCATTCCCTACATGTGTGGGGGTGTTCACCTGCTCCCTCCCTGACAACCCCTTTGCTGGATCACAGCTAATGTCCATGTGTGCAGGGCTTGTGGTGTGCATTTCTCTTAAGATGGGTTAGCTGGAACATCTCTTGAAATAATAGAGCCTTTTGTGTTTGCTTTTCTGCGCACCATCTCCTCGTATCCTTTGTCCCCTTTTCTCATCTGCTTGTTAGTGATTTCTAGAGGCTCTGGGTATAGGAAAGAGTTGAGCTGCATGCGCCCTCTGAGAGAGAGATCTTCCCAGCAGTGTGTCACTTTGGCTGCAGACAAGTTTGTGGGCTATGTGTGTGTGGTGTTGGGCCTTGAACCCAGGGCCTTCACACTGAGCTATATCCAGCTTTTTTTTAAATTTTGACTTAAGTTTTTTTTTTTTTTGGACTTAAATTCTTGGTAAGTTGCCCAATGAGGCTCAAACTTGCAATCTTCCTGTGTCAGGCTCCCAGAGTACTGGGATTACACGCTACCAGGCCCAGTTTATCTGCATTTTTAATGAGAATGAAAAACACTTGAAGTTTTTTATATTTTTGTTTCCTTATGTACTTGTTTCTTCTTGAGATAGGGTCTTGACATAGTCCAGGCTGGCCTTGAACTTACTGTGTAGCCCAGGCTAGCCTCAGACACGCTGCAATCCTCCTGCCTTGGGAGCACTTGCTCAGCAAAACCCTATCTTTAAAAAAAAAACAGCCAACAAAAAATTTGCATTATCCTTAACTCTCACTATATATGTACTTTTTTCCCCGTGAATCTCTTGGGACGAAGTTGCAGATGTTTTGCTTCTGTACTCCTTAATATTTTAGTGCACTGTCTTTTCCCCGGGGAACAGGGGCGTTCTCTCACTGAGCCAGCATACTGTTATCAAAGTCAGCAGATTTACCGTGCAAGTAGCACAGGGGCATCACCCACCAAGCCGGTGTAACACCTCGCGCCCTCTAACACCGGGGCTTCCAGTCCCACCTTTTTAAATCTTTAAAAATGTATTCTTTGTGGAAAAGGGTAAACGAGGTTAAGAAATGTCTTTAGACGGCCTGGGGACGAGGCTCAGTGGCAGAATGCTTGCCTAGCACACAGGAGGCACTGGGTGTGAGCACGAGCGCCGCACAACGCGCGTGCACACTTGCACACGCGCTGGCCTTCAGCAGCACTGCCCTGCAGGTTCCCGGGCTCAGGTGCCAGTGTGCACACCTTCCCCGGCCCCCCGCCCCACAGGGTTCCTTATCACAGGTGCGGGCGCTCCAGGCCCAAGGTCACCAGCCCTGTGACGTCCTCCGGCCACACCACTCTGGAGGTGGCCTGGGGCCAGTGCAGTGGGCCACGGTGGAGGCCCCGGACAGCCCCTCGCCCACTACTCACATTTCTGTGGCAGGCAGTGTCTCCCTGGGAGCCTTGGGCCAACCACGCGGTCAGGCTGTTTCCCTGGGCTCTGGGTTCTGGGCTTTGTTCGCCAGAAGGGGCTCAGGGCCAGGCTTGGAAAAGTCCCGGGTCCCGGACAAAGCTAGTGGGACTCTGAGGAAGGGGTGCAGTGGGGACCCTCTGAGCCAAGTCCCCCCGGTCAGTTTTGGGGCCTGGCCAGTTGCATGAGGCCAGTGGGTGATGGGCAGGGAGCAGAGTCTTCATCCGGGGCCTCCCTCCCTGTCTGGAGACTGGCTGGGTCCTCAGGGCTCCCTGGCCTCTGCTTCCCGTCTGGGAAGTGGGTCCGGGTGGGCACCAGCATCCTTGCGGTGGCTGGCCAGCGCAGCTGTCAGGGAGCCCTGCACACACAGCCAGCGCCCAGGCGTTGCACGGTGGCTGCACGGTGTCCTGGGCTGCAGAGTCCAGAGGGCACAGGGACAGGAGCCCCCCCGACACCCCCAAGGGGCTGCTACTCCCGTGCGCCGTCCAGCTCCCGCCCCGCTGCCATTCCCGTCCCCAGCCGCGCTGGTGTGTGTGCCTGCCTTGACCTGGCTGGCATGGGGCCGCCCGCTCCTGCTCGCTCTGCTCTGCTCCCGCAGCTGCCGCCCGCTTCCCGCTGCTGCCCCGCCCCACAGGGCTGCCCTTTGTGGGGGGTGGGGGTGCGCGGGGGGCAGAGGGGGTGATGGGGTGGGGTGCGGGGGGGTTGGGAGGGAAGGAGTGGCCTGGTGGGGTCTCTCCAAGGACGCAGGTAGGCCCGGGGTGGGGTGCGGGGAGCCCTCTGTCGGGCAGGGCTGGCCGCTGGAGCCAAGGCTGGTTCTGACCCCGCGCCTCCGTCTCCCTCCCCCGCCCAGATCCCAGCAGCGGCTCCACTGAAGGGCCCCGGCCCCGCCTCATCCCCGTCACTACCTCACCAGGCCCCACTGGGAGACAGCCCCCACTTGCCCTCCCCGCACCCCGCCAGGCCCCCGTCCCGTCCGCCCTCCCGCCCCC